ATGATGATCATGATGTGAAAATCCCCAGAATTAGCAGTGTTTCGAAAGATTACAGAAACGTAGGTGTACACGAGATCGGGGGATACGTATGACATTTACTTTAGGCACCGGGGTTATTCTGGTCGATCACTAGATGTCTAGGATGTCACCCATAGTGAGGCAAATGCTGAAGAGATCTGTTAAAGGTAGTGTGAAAAAAATCAACACTCTTTTAAGGCGACTGGTGAGAGAGCGTCCGAACCACTAGCAGTGTTTGACTTTGACCTGACTTCCTTGTGAATATCGCCTTAAATGGAGGGGGAGGCAGCTGAAGTTGAGCTGATAAACGAGAGCAAGGGGAATGCACAGGGTGAAGCGAAATGAAACTCAAAATTCAGTTTGTCCACATCCACGTCACCGCTCCGGTTGCAGACGCTCTTAACACAGAGCTGCCTCAAAAGCTTCCACAGATCACAGCAGCTTTGGTTGTCTAGAACCACTCCAATGCGTAAATAGTGAGGCCTCATAATTCCAGATTCGATTGCCGAGGAAAGGCTCTTAACGGTAGAAGCGATCCTGCACTTATAAGCCTATTCTGTCCCCTTGCGAAATCATTTCAAAAGTGGTGATGAAAATTTATCTATCCTTGGGTAGATCGCTTCAACACGACAACACAAGTCAAAGCAATAGTTAACGCACAGGGCAACTTAATTGTTTTATTAAGTTACGCCCCGTTGATTTCCATATCTTTCGCGATGGCTCCAAGTCCACTTCTTGGAATATATCATGCCTCAGCAACACAAGCACGCTGTGTTGGGAAATCAAGCGCACACAAGGCGGTGGCTGGACCGTAGTCCGCTCCACACTGAGTACATGAAACCACTCCTCGAGCCTAACACGGCCACAAGGACCATGCGCCCCGTCCCCTCCAGCAACGACCAACTGTCTCCTGGAGCCAGTATGAACGATGTAGTGGGTAATAGACAGGTAGGCACCTTGTCAACATACACATCAAGCGCAACCATAACAGGGATATCAAACAACAGCCATTCACTTTAAACGACAAGCTGAAATAAAATAAATCCAATAATGCATACAGATACGGTGGCATAACTCTTCGCTAAATTACCATATGAAGTAAGTTGGTTAGCAACAAATCCGCAATAAAGAAAAAGTGTCCACAAGTCAGTTAAAATGCTACAAAACGCAACACAGTTACCGGAGATAAGCGCAATTAATGTAAGCAACGTGGCCAGTTAATATATATATATATATATATATATATATATATATATATATATAGGCTCGCTTTACACCCCAAAGAATTGTGTGTATAGTGTCTCCGGGTCAATGGGGAATGAAGGGAATAACACGGGGGATGACCCCTAGTGACTGGAGAATATCTAAAGTTGGTGTGTGATGGGACACCTTAGCATGTTCCACAGTATGGGTACGATAAGAGCTAACAGCGGGAGGTGGAATGGAACCAGCTAGACATGGCAAGGAAAACAATGAATGTCAGATAAAATTATCCGGAGCAAATCTCCATACCCATGATGCGATTAGCAATGGAAACATCGAGCACTGCATAGTATCACATGGGGGTAGACAAATAATGGGTAGCAAGAGCCTCGGTAGATGGCGCAGATAAGGTGGTTAGCTGAGGTATGATCTTGATTTCCAGCCAGCGGTTCTCAAGGTAATTTTATCGCTTAAAAGTTACTAACAACCTGTCATCATACATCTCGGTTGCAGCTATTCCGCGCTACAATTCAATTGTTGATGTGCGTGGATTTAATATTCAATGCAATATTTACTTAAACACTACGGTACCATCACCGTTGGAGTGACCTACTTCCAAGTCAATCTAGATGATTAGGCATTTCTAATTCAAAGTGCAGCAGGCACCCTTGCCCTTCCGCCTCTTAGCTCGATAATAGCTGCCTTTTCCTAAGAGCACCTAAGTACAATATGACGGATGAACAGCGGGAAATATAGCTACACTCACTTCCGTGACTAATATGTGGAACAGAACATGTAGCATCAGCAACATAAAAATCGCTAGTTAGTTACTTGCCGGGATTGTTCAGTTTACACGAATGAGCCAAGCTGCGGACATTTGCAACGAAAGTTCTTGAGCTATGAACGCGGAACTTCCAAAATGCATTCCAATGCGAGGAAGCGTTGCAGAGTACTTGGGTTCCAGGGATAATTGTCGATCACTACATCCAATTCTTCACTCTAATCCACAAACGAATGTGGAATATTGTAAGCAGCAAGTGCTTGATAGCCAGGAGCTGACGTGCGCCTGTCTACACAGGCCCCCCAACCGAAGCAGAGATCCGAGATGCAATCCAATCTTTGAAACGCCACAAGGCTCCTGGTCCTGACAGCCTACCACCGGCTCTATTCAAAGATGGTGGGAGTGTACTTGTCAACGAAATCCTATCGCTGTTCATGAAAGTTTGGACTGAGGAGAAGGTTCCGAACTCATGGGGAGAACTGGTCATTGTTCCAATTCACAAGAAAGGCTCCCGCGATGACTGTTGTAACTACCGCGGAATATCGTTAGTCTCTGTCCCATCTAAAATCTTTGTGTCGGTCCTACTTCGCAGGCTGTCAACGACTAGAGAGGAGTTTTCCATAGAAAAACAAGCCGGATTTCGTCCAGGCCGCGGCTGCATCATGTGACAGACCCCAGTGACTTAATGAAGAAGAGCCAGTTTCGCAAGCTTCGACGGCGACTGACCCGACAGCTCCGTCGCATAGAAAATGTACGGTGGACAGAGAAGGCGAAGCAAATGGAATACTACGCCGAACGCCGCCAACACAAGGAATTCTTTGGCTGCTTGAAGGCGGTGTATGGACTCAGGTTGGAGTCGCTGAGGGCGCTAATCTATGGTAGCCCAGGCGCTACCTGCACACAGACTGCAGATCTGACAAAATCACTTTGACTGTCCCTTGAACAACTGTTTAGAGATTGACTGGCCTACATTGAACGGCCTCAAGCAGCACGATGTGAAGATGTCTGGCGGACACGCCGACGATGGATAAGAGTGTGTGATTGGAGCTGTAGGTGGAGCATCGCAAGCCATCCATGCTCCCTCTGTAGGCGCAGGCGGCCTGTGGCTGGTCACAGTGACAGGCAAATCCGAAACCGGATGCCGCCAACCATACGCACCGATTTACACTAAAACAATATCTCCGTAACTACATAAAAAGTATTTAACTTTATTTGATTAGCTCAGTTCTGGTATTCAGCTGTATACTCCGGGTTTGTTTTTCTCCAAATTCTGCGTTGGTTCTTTGATATCCCCGGTGTGGCGGTGCTTGATGTGTATATTGACAAGGTGCCTACTTGTCTATTACCCACTACCTCGTCTATACTGGCTCCAGTAGACAGTTGGTCGTTGCTTTGGAAAACTAGATGCATGGTCCTCGTGACCGTGCCGGGCTCAAACACAGACAGGGATGTTGCAGTTCTGCTTATTGAAGAACTGAGGTCCGGCTCCGTTGATGAAACTTGGCTCCTATCCACATGCGTCCCGGTCTTATTCCTACGGGTTTACACTGGATAGACCGATGGGTGGTGCAGCGCAAGCCACTCATGGTTTTTCGGTAGGCGCACGCGTCCTGTGGCTGTCCTATGAAGGCTGCAGTTACAGGCAAATCCGGAATTGGATGCCGCAAACCATACATATGATGTACCATGTAATATGGTCGCTCTCAATCGACAGCTCATCGTCGTTTTTAAAACTGTAAAATCAGTTTAGGAAAACACCGGCTGAAGCCTTGTGATATTTGAAACGGTGCAGTTGCGCTATTTGATAGTCTTGAAAAGGCGTTTAGGCAATGTGACAAAATTGACTCTACTGTGCACGGCAGGACACAAATTTAAAATACAATGCTCTGAGCTACACAACGGAGCTCTCTTTTTAGTGGAAAACAACTGCACCTTAGCTAAAAAAAAGTCCACCTACGTGTCTAGTCGGGCCGAAAAAGTCACTTGATCTCCTGTGTCAATCATCCTCAGGAATGTTGTGTCCTTATTAAAGTCTCCAGCAACAATAGCAATGGAACAATTAAGTTTCAGAAATAGCATTAGAGAAACTTGATCTTCAAAGAGCTTCAATTCGGACGCAGTTGTACTAGAAGCTACGTAGATGTTTCTGACGATGACCGATTGAAATCCACGTAAGAACTTTGGTTCGCGTTCGATTAAGTGGCAGTTTAGATAGGTCGTTGTGTATGGGAATAGTAGAGTCGCCAAATTGCGCCAATATTGGTTAACGTAAGTGACAAAGCATCCAGCACAAGGTGGGGCTTGCTTGGGCTGTCAATCCTGATGGGAAAACGGTCGTCCAGTTAAATCACAACATCTCCCACATTAGCATGCAACCAACTTTATTGTGACAGAATTAAACCAGCTCGGCTGCATAAGGGCACTGAAGGCAGTAATTTTACCAAAAAGCGAGCGTACATTACTGGAAAATATAAGTGGGACTTGCGCTTTGTCGATGAAGCGGCAAATGAGGCCAGATTGACAAGCAGCTTCCATATGAATCGTTTAAACGTGTTATGAGTTGGTAATCATATTCGATGAAGCGCGGATTTCGGGCATTATCATATAAATTTGGTAAACGCTTGACGGAATAGGACATCATGGCTGACCTCGGTTATAGTGCAGAAAAATAAAACGTCTCAAAAATTCAAATAAAACGCGTAATCAGAAGCCGGTAAAGCAAAAAAGTGTTCCGACGAGACCTTGCAAAGTCCTTACCAAACACGATAATTAAGATAGCCGCACCACGCCGGCAAGTCGCGGCGACGCTTCGTTGCCATGTAACCACCATCTGCTGCGGGATGGTTATAGATACTACGAGGTCGCCTGCATTTATGCTGATTCGCACAGGTGACGTTTGGGGACCACAAGTCGGACGCTCTATGACAACAACGTACACCGGCCGATGTTGGAAGGCGAACAAAAGGTAGACAAAAGAAAGTTAGGTGAAAACACTCACATGTAGTTCTTCGCGCGTGAGAACCCCCTTCGAGGAAGATTGATTGGAAGTAAGATGGGCTGCGCTGGCCGGATTGGCTAGTGCTTGATGTGAGAGTGCTAATTTGGCAGCTTGACGCTGAAAAATGCGCTCTTCCAGACCACCAGCTGTTACCAGTCTGTACAATCGAACAGGTCGAGATTGTCCGGGTCGCCAAATGCGAGCCATAGCCTTCAGGCAAGACAGCGAAGTGGAAAGGACGAATGTTTCGCAGTTAAGTAGATGGAAGAAAAAAAAACAAGAAAATGCAGGAGGCGGTGTGGGCCAGACACAAAGCAACAGACAGTGAAGACAATTAACGTGATCGATGCATTTAGTGGTGTTGGGTCATTTTCATCATCCTACCTTCTCTGAACTCCGTACGTGTTCTAAAGCTGGCTTGCCGAACGACCGCAACGTGGTGTCGTCAGCTGGGTGATTCGGGTTTATCTAAATTCAGAGAGTGGTTCGGACTCAGTGTCACGAGATGTGGTGGGTTTTAGTCAGACAAGCGTTCTCCCTATAAAAAAGACGCATGCGCCTGTTTAACAGCACTATGACGTGGAGGATGTGACTCGCCCCCTAAGTAAAGTCCCTGCCCCACGCTACACTTCGGTGAAGCATTTGGTTTTAGTTATCTGCCGTTGACTACATATGAAGGATTGGTAACCAAACAAACGAAATGTTTAGTAACTGAACGATCCGATCACCGACCCTCAATAAACGCGATTCCATGAAGGCGCTTCGCTGCGTTGCGGGTAAGCTATTTAGCCAAAGGCTCAGATTGGATAACCGGGTAGTATTCTGCACTTTGACAATGGAGCGCTTTGTAATGCGCTCTGTTTTTTTTACGAGAACTGCACTATCCATTGCATACGATGCCTTTTGAAAGTTAAATGTTTGTTGTAAATTATATACATATAATTCACAAAAACATTTCAGTTCCGGATTTGCCTGCCACTGTGCAGCCAGAGGACGCCACGACATGCCAATGCGATCTTCTAGCCAGTCCTAACATAACCAACTGAGGTATTGCGTATGTGGACCAGTGAATGATGACATTAACGCTAGCGTGAGATGCATGACTGTTTCCCTGCGAACCACAACTTTTCGCTAACCCAATCTACAGATTGGGTCACGGTGAACAATTCAAAAGTGATTTCTTTAAAATCAATGATGTGTGAATATGGCTATCCAATTGCAGCAACTTGATCCATCCCAACTTTCGTTCGAGGTTGGATTGTGCGTTGGACTAGACTTACGAAACAATTCGAATTCGTACAGTGAATCTTGCATGGGCTGCATAAATCAACATTAATGATGTTTAACAATTGGTGTACAAGCACAGATAGCTTCGATACTAATGTTTTACAGGCGAAATTGTAAACTGTGGAACAAATCAGTTACCAGAGAAATAAACCAGGTCAACGTAAAACAATATGCTTGATAAAATCAATACGATTCCACGAAATGTAGCCTGCAGTTACCTGTGCGTCATTCGCTGGGTTCCAATCCATGTCGAACAGAATCAGGTAGTTGGCACCGACCAAATTTAATCCTGTGCCACCCGCTCGAGAACTGAGAAGCAAAACACCTGGGATAAAAAAACGCAGCAACGGCCATATAGTGCATACTGTGGCGAATAGTAAGTCAGATGAGTTGACCATACGTGGAGCCAGTGGACAGAAAATCAATCGAACACCGCCCACGCATTGGCCGTTGAGTCAGGGCAGACGACAAACAAGTGAGTCAGAGGAGGGTGGTTCGGGCTTAATTCGATCTGATTTAAAGACGGCACAGAGTTGGATAGAACACTGACGAACGAAGAACATGCGTGAATCAAGCAAAGCATAGCACAGAGTTGAAGGCACTAATGAGCCAATAAAAATGAGCGCAGCGTACGTGGTGTCTCGAGCTACGCCCATACCACACTTTCACTGAAACTCAGTTGTGGTTTTAATTCTAGGAAGAGCACATCACACACGCATGGTTTTGCCTAGAATAGATAGAAAGGTGGCAAAAAGACCACAAAATCTATATATACAGCCTGTGTCCCAAAATTAAGTGTACTGATTTTTTATTTAAGTCACATAAGACTCACAAGAAATTACAAATTATCCTTCTAAGTTACACATTGGTTACAAGGTTTTCTCAACTGATCGTAGCAGTACTCAAAGTCATTCGTTACAACTTTTCGATCTTCCCATCATTCCATGATCATAACCTTTCAATTTAGGAAAGAGGCAGAAATCGCATTCAGCTAGGTCAGGACTGTAGAAAGGTTGTGGTAGTGTGGGGATGTTTGCCTTCGCCAAAAACTCGCGAACCGAAACGGCTGTGAACAGCCGCGTTATCGTGACACAGCACCCAATCATGTGCAAGGTGCCTTCGGAATCACTGGATCCGTTTTCGAAGTCGTTCCAAGATACAGTAGTAGAAGCCTTGATGATCTGTCTGTACTGGAGGTACAGATTCTTTGTGCACAATTCCCCTGCCTGTCGAAAAAAACCACGATCATCGTTTCCACCCTGGATTTGCTCATGCGCTTCCTTCGGAAGAGGAGAATTTTCAATGTGCCACTTATACTCGAACATACATGATTCGTCTACTGAAAATACGTTATGCAAGATATTTGGTACAATTACGAATCCTTTCAGCAAATCCGCACAAATTTCACACCGGTTCTCTTTTCCCGCTGTATAGCCGAAACTCGGGGTGCTTGTACTAATCTTCGCCAGCTATGGCGCTGGCGCGACATCACCCTCGCCTTGATGGAGGTGGTCCTCGGTCTAACCAGATGTGCGTGGGGGACAGGGGGGGGGGAGGGGGGGGGGGCTCTTGCGAGGGCGAAAAAAAAAAGATGGGGAAGGGGGGGGGAAGGGGAGGGAAGGGGGGGGGAAGGAAGGGGAAAGTCTCAGGAAGGAAGGGGAAGAGAGGGGGAGGAGAAAGGAGGGAGAGGAAAGGGGAAAGGGAGGGAGGGAGGGAGAGGGAGGGGAGGGAGAGAAAAGGGGGAAGGGAGAAAGGGGAGAGGGGGGGGAAGGGGGGGAGGGGAAAGAGGAGAGGGGAAGGGGGAAAGGGGAGGAAAGGAAGAGGGGGAAGGGGGAGGGGGAGGGGAGGGA